CAAACCTAAATTATTAAATTCAATTAACAGCTCAGATTTACAGTAATCTCTCATCTGCACTCCTCTATAGACAGAGGAGGAAAGCCAATTCCTTTCAAGAATAGGGTGCAAACTTTTGGTTAAATGACTTTCTTAGATGGTAATAGATTTCCTATTTGCTTTGTGAGTTAATCAAAAGAGATCCTATATCACACACACACACACACACAAGAGTTTACAATGGGAATGGAAACTTGAATTGTAAACCTTTTACCCTTATTAATAAATAGATATGATTAAATAATTTAAATATAAAATATAATTATAATTTAATTTTACATAATATATACCTAACTTGTTTAATTCAGTAAAAAATTAATGAGTTTAAAGAGTTTAACCATGTTTAAATTTAGTATGAGTTCTTTAGCAAGTTGATATGATTTTATAAGTTAAATTAAAAGATGAAAAATGTAAAACTCAAAGAGAATCAACTTGCAAGTTTAATTAAGTTTATATCTAATATAAATTTATAGATGAGTTGATATAATTTTATAAGCTAAAAATGTAAAAAGATAAACTTGGAGAGAGAGAGAGATAGAGAGAGACCCATTCAAGGAATTAAATCAATGAAAACTTTTTATGTAAGGCAACTTTCTCATATAAACGGAAAATTCGATTAATCCTCTGATCCTCTATCCCGTTTTGAGGAACACGAGAGAACGAAATCTAATAAATTTCCAAACGTTTAACTTCAAATGAGTTTTAATTCTCAACATCTAATTCTAATATTGTAGGCATTCAATATTTGATTGTTAATATGGATAACTAATTAGTTCTCCACATCTTTAAAGGCAAGCACAATTTAATCAACCTAGAAGATATGTACAAATTCAATCCTCATTATCAGACATAATAAGGTTTGTTGTGCAGAATCTCCCAGGAGGAAATAGGATAAAAATATTTGGAAGTCACAACCAAAATTTTAAAGAATAATTTTAAAAACCTCTCTAACGTGTGGTTTGCATATAGCAAAAAGGACATGAGAGTCGATTGTATGCAGAAAATATGTTAAGCATCCCACAACACCCATCTACATGAATGGTTATCTTAAGTTAACTATATAAATTTAAATGACTTTAAAAATATCTTAATTACCCTTAACAAAAAAAATAAAATGAAAAAGAAAAATAAAAGAGAGAATTTTATTTATTTATAAATTAGACTTGACCTAGAATGAAACCAAGGGCCTAGGTAACCTTTTAAGGAATCAAAATTCATATAGTTTAAGGTAAAAATGTGCATCTCTTGATTGAGAATTTTTTTAAAGAAAATATAAAATATTAATTTTTTATAAAATAATTTTAATGTTGGTTTGCATTTCTTTATTTGTAACGAAATTTTGAGAAACAATTTTGGGAAAATATTTTGATAAAATTTATGAAAATGTCATGTATCCCAGAATCCATCTTCCAAATATAATTTTTTTAGGAAAATATTTTATTTTTAAATATTTTGAAATATGTACTCATGATAATTTATCACCACGTAGGTTAACGAATTGACTTATAAACATGTGAGGATTTAAAAAATCACAAATAAAAAATACAATAAAATTATATATATGCAATAATTTATCATCATATATGACAAATTAATTAATTATAAACTTATGAGGACTTTCGAAGTCTCACACAAAAAAGTTTAAAATTAGAGACAATCGAGAACACATTGGTGGACAAGCCTAGGGGTTACTTATTGTTAACATGAATTAACCATATACCTGTGGTGATTTAGTACACTCACGATTTGCTAATTGATGCTCTAAATGTACTCATTGATTTTTGATATAGAAATTTTAGAGGAATAATTTATTGTTATGATTTCTTATAAGAGGTAAATATAAGAGCCATCAATCCAATTAGATAAATATTTAATGATAGAGAAAATCCTTACCAAGTATTGCTAGGGTAGATGGTCATACGTGCTGTTTGAAATCAAAGCTGCAGATATTGTTTCCCATACAAAAGGCATCAAGAATATCATGCATAGGTTTTAAATCTAAGGACAAAATTGTGTACCTTCATGATTCCCTTTAGCAAATTATCAAAAAAATTTGTATGTATCCACCGTAAAACTCTTCCAAGTTCCAAGAATTCAATGAAGATGAGAAACATTAACCACGGATTGCCAACACCAAAGCATTAACTGTGATCATATAAGATTATTGCATGCCATCATCTATTCAAAACCTTTTCCTTGTATTATCTCCAAGTTTTTCCTCCTCCATCCCTCTTTTTTACAGTTTTCTTAAATCTCTCTAACTACCTTCTCTGTTCCACATTTACTTTCCTTTATATAGATTCTTATACTTAGGGTTCTCTATATTCATAATTATATTGTGATATTTTTAATCTATATAAGTTTTTTTATATATTCATTGGTTATTATTATTTAGAGATTATATATTATTCATCTATTATTATATCCTCCTTATTATATTATTTTGGAATCTTTGAATCTTAATATTAAATATTATATTATATTTTGATTGTTATATTATATTAAAATATTCAAATCTTTATAACTCATATATTGTTAATATTAATATTAGATCATGGTCTGATTTGATTATAGTGGTACCATTTTTTATTATCTTTAGATCAAAGACTGTTTAAATTTTTATTTATTTATTTTGTTATTATAATTGTTTTTATTTTCATTCTTATTATTTGACAGCGGTTGCTTTTATACAATGTTTTTTATAATTTACATTTTCCATTATCTCTTTTTTATTCATTTTTAATGTTATCTGATTTTCTTCTAAGGGCCCAAATAAAATACGGCTTACAAGGTTATTGTCCTAAATTGATTTTTTTTTTCCCCTCCGTAAAGCATATCTTCCTTGGATTGGTCTTGTGGAAATTATAAATTGAATCAAAAATTCCTTTGAACAAGCCTTGTACTTTTCAACATTTAAAAGCATCAATTTGGTTTGACATTTAATTAAGAACGCAAAATAGGCAAAAGTGCAACAAGGAAAAGAGAGATCAGAAGAGAGATGCAAGGTGTACTATTTCAGATATAAGAAAAATTAGCCAAATAATTTTTTTTCGTTGAAAATATATTAAGACTCAACTTATTTTTAGAGATGCAAACTTCACTCTCAAATAATATTAATTTTTTAATATTAAATTAAACTATCCAAATTAAATTAAATTTAATGATAAAAATATCTACAAATTTTTATTTTAATAAAGTTAATATTAAAATTTTTAAATTTGAACAGTCCAAATCCACTTTCCCAGTCGCACCCAACAAAAAACAAAAAACAAAAATAAAAAGCCTGCTTGGCTCGCTGTAAATACAATCATTACTACAATAATCATAGTTTTGAGGGGGTTCCTTTTCTTTTTCTTGTTTTTTTTTTTTTTCCCATTCCATTTCCATGTATTTCGGTTTCCAAGAGCTAAGACGATAAGGACCTGAAAAGCTCAAAAGTGTGAGCGAAGGCGACGACCGGTGGAAACACCGGACATGCTAACGGCTCTCTCTCTCTCTCTCTCTCTCTATATATATATATATATATTTGCCAAACCACTCTCTGCCTTCTATTTCTTACGCCCCCTCTATTTCTTTTTTTTTTTTGGACGAATACACCCCCTCTATTAGTAAAGCGGAGTCAGTATGAGTAATCTCAAAAATCTGTACGGTTGAGATTTACATGTTTTATTTTGTTATATTTTTATATTTAATATTTATTAAAATAAAAATTAAAAAATTTAATAAATCTATCTTATCAACCATCTAGATAATATATATTTAATTTGGGTAGGTCAATTTTTATTTTCATACAAAAAATAATGACTATCCAATTTAATAATAATTTTTTTATAATTTTTACAAATTTACTGTTTAGATATATGTGAAACAGTTTAAATTTAACATTAATTTTTTTATAATTTTTAATATTTTTAATTTTAGTAATAATAATATTAAGAATAAAGATAATATCTAAGCTAACACTTTAAAAAAAAAGAAAAAAGTTACAAGTTAAAAATTTTAAAACTGAATTGTCCAAAGTAATTTTGGATAGTTAATTTATAAAAATTTTAAAAAATTTTAATATTAAGTTAGGTTTTAAAATTAAATTTATATTATTCAGATTGGTAATAAACTTGTCACATTATGAGCACCCAAATTGGCTATTAAAACACCCCCTCCTCTCTTCTATTTCTTTGTAGGTTTCTTGTACTGTTTCTGATGTTTTAGGATTTCATTTTAAGTTCGTCTATGGTACTCATTGGGGAATGAGCATGGTGCACATCAGCTGATGAGATTTAGATTGCATTTTAATCTAAACAGTCCAAATTTAAAACTTTTTAAAATTTATATTTTATATTTTAAAATAAAAATTTATAATTTATCATCAATGGGACAAAATAGTTTTAATCAAGATGATCTAATTTAATTTTAATATATTTATAATTTTTATAAATTATTTATCTTGATATATTTTGGACACTCTACATTTAACATTAATTTTTTATAAGTTTTTGTTTTATAAAAAATAAAATTAAAAATAAATATAATATCTTAACTATTACTTTTCTACTAAAAATATTTTTTTAAAAAATTATTAATTAAAAATTTTAAATCTAGACTGCCTAAAATAAATCTAAATAATCAATTTATAAAATTATAATAGAATTTAATATTAAAATCGGACAATTTAAATTAGATCTACACCTGGTCAATTACTAATAAATAAATTTATTAAAATATATTATAATTTTTTATTTTTTTAAATAAAAAATAAAAATAAAAATGTTAAATTTTAAATCCAGGCCATTTAAATTAAAATTTTTTATCAACGTGTCAGCCTGACAAGCACGAGAAGTTGGATTCCAAGGCTTTATTCAAATAAGGACCCCCCCTTTCTCTCTCTTCCTCCCCTTCACTCCCACTTGCTGTCCTTCTCTCTCTGTCTCTTCACGACTCCGCTATCCTCTGTGAAGGCCCTTATGGCTCTTTCCAAAGAAGCAATAACCTCAAGTTCCTTCTTCATACCCTCCGCGTTAAACGGGTTGTCAAGAGCCGTCAAAGACAAACCAATATTCATTATGCACCCCGAAAATGATCGAATCACCATCGCTTTCCAACTCCTTAGAGACCTCAGTGCCAATGTGAGGCACCTCTGTAGTTACCCCAACTGCCAGACGAGTTACGAGTTGTTGAAGGAACTGATAATGGGATTCCAGGATCTAGCTCTGGCTGATGGAGCTGGACCGGCTATGATTATTGGTGATACTCAAGTTGCTGAGCTTTTAATCCGTGAGGGTCTTAACGCTGAAGACATGTATGATAGGACAAGAATTTTACCAGATCCTTCAGCAGCTGACAATGTCCAGTCCAGGATTGTTCTAAGCACAGTAAGGGATGCTTTGCAGACCGATCCTAAATGTTTCAGTAGGATAAGTGACAGTCACCCTGCAATGATTGCTGCAGATTCCGATTCTCTTTTCCTGTCGGCTGTGCTAGCCAGAAAGGAGTTCTACTCAGGTCACAATGACCCGACCACTATCACAGACGACCCCCAGGTAATTGAGAGTGAGAATTCAAATTATTAGGGTTTTTTTTTCTGTGTTTTGTTTCCGACATGAGATTTTATCAGATGGTAATTTTTGTAGTTGTTTGACGCGGCCTGACACACGCGGATGCTAACACTGCATTTTGGTTCAGGTTTTTAAAAACTATAAGTTGAAAAAACACTCATCATTTCTGTTGTTTGAAATTAGGACAGAACTTTGGATGAGGAAGAAAAAGTGAGAGGAAGGAAATGGGCTGCGGAATTTGTTGTTCCAAAGGTGCCCGCCTACCCCATTTCTGATCTTCTTCTTTGTTACAGACACCGAAGTAGTTGACCTGAGAATTCAAATTATTAGGGTTTCTTTTTTTTTTTTTTCTGTGTTTTGTTTCCGACATGAGATTTTATCACATGGTAACTTTTGTAGTTGTTTGACGCGGCCTGACACGCGGATACTAACACTGCATTTTGGATCAGGTTTTTAAAAACTATAAGTTGAAAAAACACTCACCATTTCTGTTGTTTGGAATTAGAAGATAACTTTGGATGGGGAACTAAAAGTAAGAGGAAGGAAATGGGCTGCGGAATTTGTTGTTCCAAAGGTGTCGGCCTACCCCATTTCTGATATTCTTCTTTGTTACAGACACCGAAGTAATTGACGTGAAAATTCAAATTATTAGGGATTTTGTAGTTCTTCTTTGTTTTGTTTCAGACTAATAAGAAGAAAAGATTGTTTTTTTTTTTGGTGGGGGGGGGGGGGAGAAGACGATGGAAGCTAAGGGGGAGTCAATCTTGATGTTAATTTTTTTTTAAAAAAATACTACTCCTATTAAAAAAATATAAGATATATTTAACCAAATCTTACTTCAAAATAAGTTAATTAATTATTTTTAAATTGATACCATCTTTCTATGTTTGTTCTTATTTAATATAATGTCTTTCTTAAAGGTAAATAGTTGATCGGTTTATTTATTAAAATATTTTTAGAGAAACAACTAACTAATTACACATTAAAAATTAAAAATATTTTACATTTTTAATATCTAACTTAAAAAGTATCTTATACTCTTAAATGAAAGGAGTATGGACATGTATTTTATTAATGAAAAATAAAAGAGAAAATTAATGATAAAATTTTTAATGACATAAATTATAAAGAGGGCAAGAAACTATTATAAATAAAATAGGAAGGAATATTACATAATTATATGTATATTTTTTTTGAACGAAATATATGTATATTACATCTAGGTATACTTGGCTTTTTTTATTCCTTCTGAACTTTTTATATAAGGCCTAATATTTAGAGAGCCATATAAACATACAGGAAGAGGTAGAGAGTGGGCCCCCCCTCACCATACAGGTAGTCCTGCCTCCGGATGAAATGATTGTATATTTTATTGCTCAATTAACACATTTATATGGGGAAGCATATGCAATAGAATGATGATACGTGTGGAATGATCTATGAGAAATTATTAGACAAGTACAGCACATCATTCATGGCCTATATAATAAAATTGCAATAATTTAATTAAATAAAATATTATATGTCATTATTTTTAATAAATTTATTTTTATAATAAAATGCTTATTTAATTTGTTGTCTTTTCGTTTTTTACTATCATTAATATTAAAATTAATTTGTATTTAATGTTTTTTGAATGTATGTTTTTATTAGATGGACCATAGATATAATGTGGCACACTGAATTTATCTAAAAAATTTTCATGATCTGAAATAAACAATGTGTCACATGACAAGTGCTGAATGTGTTTTTTGTTTTTTGTTTTTTGTATTTATCTTATGTGGAGTACTCCTTTGCTACTGACATTGAGGTCAATGTTGTCATATGTAGTTCAATATAATACAAGAGAAATTTTTAAGTAGATTAAGATTTTTATTTGAGCTGGTACTTGGCATTTATTTTATTTATTTATCCCTTTGAAAAATAACTAAAGTTCAATTTGAATGAATTATTTTAACCTTTCTTCATCAACCTGATCTTCTTTATCATTAGCTCATCATCAATCAGAAAATCCTTCTCCTCCTTACAATTTCATATCTCAACTTCTTTAGATTTACCCTCATCATCTTTATAATGATGATGATTCCTCATCCAATATTATCACTATTATCATGAGTCTCATATTGGGGAGTTTCAATTTATAAGTTCAAGGAGCTTTTTCATTTAGGCTAATCTTTTAGGATAAGTTTTTTCTTTGAGTTTTTGCTCACGACATTGATGCTTTCACTGAGAGGTTAATGCCAAGAAAAAAGTTACCCATGAAGCCTTTGGAGTGAAGTATCATGGGGTAGAGCTCATTACTACAAAAATAGCTTATGGAAGAGCTTAATTTTAGCCAACTGGAGTGCTTCAAAGCACTCCTATATTCATATGGGAGCACTTTTAAACCACCCCTATAGATTAAACATAAAAGAGCACTTTTAAACTAAGCACTCCTATAGGTTTTCAACTTTTAGAAAATTTAAAAAAAAAACCCATAAACTTACCGGAGCTCTCTCGTAAGTGCCATGCACGAGCGCTCCTATTATCCCATCCCACAGGAGTGCTCTTTGGAAGAGCACTCCTATAGTACCCATATTATAGGAGCGCTCTCTAACAAAGTGCTCCTGTATATTAAGATACAAAAGCGCTCATGTATTTTTTTTATTTTTCAAATCATTTTTATTTTTGTAAATCTTCATCTGTTCATTATCAATGACAACTATCTTTTGCAGCTCATTACAAATGAAAATTATTCCATACCAATATCCAAAAAATCAATCCAGAAACAAAATAGTTAAACATTAGAAGTTATATACAACTAAATAATTTGAAATTAAAACAAACTTTAGTATAATTTTTAGCTTGTCTAATCTCTAGTTTTATTTACAAATAAAACTTTTTGGTATTTTTTTAACATTAAATGTTACCTATCATAGACAACTAATTATATATTCTGACTACTCCTCAATTACATCTTCTATTTGCTCCATGGTTAAATTCAAAGATCTTGCTCCAGCAAAATACTACAAGAAAAATTAACATATAATAATAATTAATTATTTATGTTATACGGGAGACATGAATTTAATTTTGAAACACTTACATTTGGTGGAATGATTAATTCTTGCTGGGTGATTATGTCTTTCATAAACTTCAAGACATAGTAATCACACTCCCAACTTTTTATTTGTGTAGGTACCTATAAAAATAATAAAATAAGATATAAATATCCAAACATGTTAGAAACAAAATGGAACTAATTAATAGTTTAGAGATCAAAGTATATATAATTTGGATCTATAGATCCAATCATGAGAAAATCTGGCAAAACCTCCCCTATAACTTGGACGTTCCAGAATTGTCTAGCAATTCTATATCAATCCAAAATAGCATATTCAGAATAACAAATATAAAATATTAATCAAACAATCACTTATATACATATATACCAAACATGTTTTGATTAAGCAAATAATACAAACCTTTATTTTGTTTCATGTATAATACTTAGCAGGATCACTCATTTGAGTATTTGGAGGGAGATCTTCACCACCTCGATAACGTGCTACTGCTCTATTAGAATTAAACATAGCAATTGAAATTATGACTAATTGTTATAATAAACATGTATAAAGAATACAGAGAATAAAATACTTACTGATTAAATAATATCCTCATAGATATGTAATTCTTAAGCTCATTATTTTTTTAATAATTCAAGATAATAAATCATAAGGATGAATAGATTGATACAAACAAACACCCAATGTTTCCTGAAAACATAAAATATTGTATTAAATCAAATGTCAACCTATTTAAAGATAGATAAAAACTTGTTGGAAATTGTACTCTAGGGCCAATCATTGTACTATGCACATTGTTATTTAATGAATTTCTCTTTGTTATCATATTAATTGCATATTCACTATGATAATTATATCCTTGAACAAACTATAATGATTGTCCTAAGTATTCTTGGTCAGTCATCTATAAGGGATCATAGATGAAATATGACTAGTATAACTTTAATTAATTATAGAGATATAAATCAAAGTCATAGGTACTTGAAAGAGTACAAGGTACTAGACCGACCCAATATGAGAAAGCTGCATGGTGTAAGTCATAAGCTTATCTCATATGTAACCATATTACTAAGCCCTTTGACCTGAGATCATCATGGATTCCTACGTGATGACCATTGAATTTTGACCTAGTCAAAACTCACTTTTGACCAGGTGATCATAAAAGCTATGATTGAGTTTAGTGATATTCATGCAAAGGAATATGAGTGATCAAGATGAAAATTATCCCTTATGTTAATTGAGAGATATTATTGGGCCCCTCGATAAGGAAGATTGAGAAAATATATGACCATATTACAGCGAAAAGGGTTTTTCCATTGTTATGTCAGTCTACTCAGAGATCGAGAAAGTAATGGTCAAGTAAAGGAGAATGACAATTCCATGTCTCACACTTGACCAAAATATCACATGACAAAAAAGATATGATATGGTTATATGATATGTCACATTGAATCATCAATCCCCATATGAATTGGGTAGTTGCAATGTTTTGTTAGAGGTTACTTGTGACTTGTGAGCTAATAATGTAATTAGCCTATTGCCAACTTCATATGGGCCTGCAGGGTCGCACACAAGAATGGCCCAACTCGAGCTACAATATCCAAGTTCATTGAATTTGAAATACGTCTAGATTCAATGAATGTAATATAGGGTGAATGAATTATATATATATATATATATTTGCATATTTATTTGATAAATATTTATATATATATATATATGAAACATAAAATTCAAAATATAATTATATATATATATTTTTAAAATATATATATATTTATATGTGTGTGTATCTGATATATATATATGTATATATATATATGTATGTATGTATGTATATGATATATAAAATTAAATATATGTAATATAATATATATATTTTTTGAAATATATAGATATATATATTCATATATATATAATATAATATGTATGATATATTATATTATATTATATTATATTATATTATATTATTGTGTTAGTTTTAAATTTAATTTTATATGATAGGTTAAATTTAATAACTACTCTTTCCGTTCAAAAATGTAGGGCATTTTTTGAGGAGTTGGATGTTCAAAAGTATAAGGCATTTTTAGTTTTTTGAGCTATAATCATTGCCTTTTATTTTTCAAAAGTGCTCTTATTGATAATGACTTTATATTTATTGTAGGGTGTTTAATAGGAATAAATATGGAAAGATAATGTTAGTTGAAAAGTAAGTAACTATTTTATTAGAGGGTGAGATTTAGTTAAAAATGTCATACATTTTTAAACAAAGGGAGTAACATGATATGAAAGAATATCATATTAGTTTTATAGTTTGAATTTATAAGATAAATTTAAATTAGATATGATGTGATAAATTTTATTTATGAGAAAAATTCAATCTAAATTTTGGTTAGGTCTTCAAGAGGAAGGCAACAAGGGGAAAATGAGAGAGTTAGAAAAGTTCTGATAGTTGGCCAAATACTTTGAGAGCCATGAAATACCCTAGAGAAAGGAAAACTAACATTTAAAGAAGAATAAATGCTGGGAGCGCTAGCACGCTATTTGAGTTAGAGAGC